GGAGCTGCAGGGTGTCGCTGGTGGAAGGGGTGAGTTGAGGTGTCTGGGAGGTGAGACAGACACCTCATGTTCATATGGTGTATGTTCGTTTGTTAACGGTTCCGCCCATTGCTCTGGGTGTGTGGTCTATGGCCCTAGTGCTATGGCAGCCACCTGAGTATTATTATTATCAACTGATCAAGAATAACTCTGACTGCGGCAGATGCAGTGTGTGGCATGTGGTAGCTAAGCACCTTGTGAATGCAAGGTGACCCTCATGCACCATCAACGACCTCTGTTTTCCGTTTGTTGTAATTGCATGATGCATTAACGCATAATAGTAATACTCGGTCCCAATAACTGTTGTGTACAGGCACCTTCAGAGACGTAAGTCAATATACTCTCCATTCCTGATCTGAACTTGAACATTCATCTAAACGAAAAGGTCACCCCTGCATGCAGATTCAGGTATATATAGCTGCCCATGAGTACTACCATACTTATTGATTACCGTCCCACACACAGTAATAAGCTGGACCTTGCTATTCAACTCCTCATGAAACCTTTCAGCTATACTGAAGTGCAAACCCTCGGCGCACTGTGACGCGCACGTGTAACCGTACCACTAATTGATGGGCTGGGTTTAGTTTTAGCTGGTCTCTTAGTCTTGCCAGCTCCCGCAGAGTCTGACGCGGGCTAACTACACTACTAGATAGCATGCGAGAGGCGATACACGCCCTGCGTTGCATCTTCTGGTGCCTCCGAGGTACGCAGAGCACGCAAATCGTTCATGCCGTAATAAGCCGCTGTGTATTTGCATATTGGCTTTTTCTCGCTCTAGCTTTGCAACGGAGCGTTTTCAGAGAAAACCGTTCGAAATTTCTGACCTTCATTGCCCGTTCAGTAGGTGGTATCCTTTGTGAGACGAACGAACATTCGAGAAGTGAGATGAAGAGTAACAGACAGACACACACACAGACAGACTAGACCCAAGTACCGTAACCCTCGCTGCGCATGCGCGCCGAGGGTTAATAATACTATAATAGTCAGGTTGCTGGCATAGCGAGCACTAGGGCCATAGACCACGCACCCAGAGCAATGGGCGGAACCGTTAACAAACGAACATACACCATATGAACATGAGGTGTCTGTCTCACCTCCCAGACACCTCAACTCACCCCTTCCACCAGCGATACCCTGCAGTTCCCCAGACGCAATCTGAGACTGGGTTTGTTGTATACGCGGTGACTATCGCCGTATAACCTAACCTTTAATAGCTCCCAAACATCCAAAATAAAATCTTAACAAGGCCAAGCAAAGAACCAAATTTATCCTCCCACAGTTCACCTTTCAGCTCCAATTTTAAATGGCAAGAATACTTCAAACGTCCTCTATATCTACTTCATATGGCACTTGAAGTTAACCTACTTAACTATCCCCTGATAAAGACATTATAACAGCACTTGATCAACTATGACTTATTTTCAGCTGCCTTAATGGTCATTATCCCCGAACTGCGTGATTGGATAGCATCCAAGAAAACACTTTAGTCAGGTGCAGCTCCCTGTGTCTTGTTTCCTTCCAATATCCATACTGGCACTGAATCCGTTGTCCCCTGTCCGTCAAATCCCTTTATACTTCCACCTCTGCAGAACACAGACAAAAACAGCAACTTGGATGTTATTTTGTAGTAGCACTTGGTCTATAAGGAGCTCCACAGTTTTTCACAATGAGGGACAGATTTGCCACACAAACATTATTATGTCACTCCTGCTTTAGATTAAAGGGAATGTGGTAGTACATTAAGAGCTGAATTTAGAAATGTTATTAAAGACGAAAAGGGGCACAGTAGAACGATGCAATTAGGTTCCGTTTTTAGTAAGATTTCGAAATTAATCCCCTTATATACCGCCATATTCCCTTTAAAAATTGATTCATTGCAGTGAAGTTGGGTGCTAATTACGCATAGCCACTGATTAGAGTAGTGAGTGTAGTTCACAGGTTCCCGTGACTACTATGTGTATACAAGAAGGGACATGCGTCTTTGCACACTCCCTAACCTTCTGCCAAGATTTTACCGAAATCTCACTGCTGCTGATGCATAATGGTAGCTAATGTGTAGCTACTAATCGCCTTGTAAACGTTCACCTCAATGACCTCTTTCTTCAACTTTGTTACTGACATTTGACGCATGCATGATCAGCTGCAAAATATCACACTTATCACCCACTGTCCGGAGAGTATATAGCTAGTAGCTGGTCTGATGTGATACAAAACACTGGCAAAACATGTTCTTGTGTAGATGTGAAAGATGTCTTGGAAGCTCATGGTTCCTCCTCTGAAACATCACTTTTCACTCACTAATGCCAAGGTATCATGGCAATATTATGAGTTTATGGCACAGATAAAAAATTTTATGGCCATGTGAGAGACTTCATCTGAGAATAATAAAGAGAATTGTCTAAACACAGAGCAAAGAGGAAGGGAGAAAGAACACTTCCTTGGCGTAGTCCATTTGATCATGAGACCCTTAAAGTAATCCAAACTACACAAACCCAAACAAACACAACACTCCCCTGTAAACATGTAGCTATATACAAGGACCACAAAACTCTGAGGATAGCCAACGGAAATCACAGTCCAATAAAGGTTTATGAAAGAAGGTCTGTGATATCAAATATTGGGACATGACAGAAGGAGGACTATTATGAGAGTCAATTTTCTTGACCATTCCCGTGCAAAGAGAAGTAAAACTCCCTGATATGAATCCCAACTGCATAATTATGATTGATAGTAAAATAAACGCAATAGCCAATAATTTATTATTAATACAAAAATCAACAATTCAAAAACTTTACTCAAGGCTGACATAAGGGTAATTTGGAGGTAATTAACACTGGCGGAGGAATCCTGTTGTTCTTTGGAATGAGAACAATGGAAGAATAACAAAGTATCTGTGGGTTGTAGCTATCCATGGCGAACAACTTCTGTGAAGATAAAGACAAGGCCAGTATATATAAATTTAACATGTTTTTGAACTCAACAGCAATAAGGTTTAACATCTTTACTTCTGGTCTCTTAGTACTCAACTCCTCACTCTTCAGGTAAGTGGGTAGGTGGCAGAGCCAGTCAGCTCAATCAGATACACAAAAATGTGTGTAGGTTCTATCACCCAAAAATTCCCTTACTAACTCGGCTCACTGCGCATGCGTGGCACCGTCCCGCGGTCTCCGCCCTCTCGTGGATGGTCTGACACCGGCTAGTAAAGAGCATGCGAGAGTCGTCTCCGTTTTTTACTTATTCTGCTTCAAGATCCACAGAGCGAGCGGTCAAGTCGAGAATGAGATAAGCCAGCGCGATAATGCTTGTTTTCACAGCATGTGTCTCGAACATAGTCGTTTCAGGATAAATATACGGCTCGCGTAGTTCTGCTATCGCTCATAGGTCGCCTCGTAGCCTTAAGTGCCAGAATAAGCGTCGACACATGCACAGAGTGACACACAGACACAGACCGTAGCCCTCGCTGCGCATGCGAGACTATAGAGTTCTTCACCTACGTACAATTATTCCGCGCATGCACGCACACTGCAAGTGAAGCGAGCAGCGCAGACGTATATAGATGCAGTGCGGGTCACAACATTAGCTTCGCTCGACAGTCGTAGCTCCGAGGCTATACCCTAATGGGGCTAGCGGTATGCGCGGACCGGACAACATTGTGCAGGGCCCAGGGCCATTCAGGAAATACTTTTCAGTACCCGATTTGACTAATAATCTATGTAGGGCTTCTTGGTTGGCAGAAACGTGAGGCCCAGGGCATTCGCCTTATAAGTAATGTGGGGTACAGCCTCGTTCCCAACAAAACGGGCCCCGGAATGAGGCTGTTTACCACAAACGTGATGTTGGACTGGTTCGTTGTAATGATGTCTGATAGAAGCACGCTTTAGCCATGGAGTTCCGAGAACTAGAAGTGTATGGCGACCAACACTATTCTCGTAGATCACAACATCAAAGATTTCTGTTTATAATCCATTAGCAAGTAGTGGTCTTCGGGCAGGTTCAGAGTTTTATTGCCTAATACACTACGAAGAGGAAAGACTAAGGGCATTGCTTCAGCTGTTTGCTTTGGCGACGATGTATAATAGCAGAATGAGACATCTGTGCGCGTGGTAGATAGATTCACTCGCGCTTGCGCGCCCGGAATAACCGCATTGCGCTGGGCCCCCGGCAGAGCTTCCATATAACAAAAGGGAAGTAAACTTTTGCTACACTTACACTGTAATTGGATAACTTTCCATGCAGGGTTTCGTGGCTGTGTATACATCTTGGAGTTGTGCGCTGTAAATGAATGTGTGCCGCAAGCTAATGAGTTCCGGAACTTCGCGCGCCCTGAGAGCGTGCAATTTTATTTAAGTGAAACTTGTGTATGTCACGAAATAAAGAACAGCGAGGCAGATAAACCTCTAAAATTATGGGCTCGTTGATGGCAATTGTTGTGCAATAGATATGCCTATAGCAAAGATATCGGAATGATTTGCCATCTCTGTCACTATACAATCTCGCGGGGCCCGCGAGAATTATTATTGGGAGCTATTATTATAGCGGCGTGGTATAGAGACCTGACTGTGGGTGGGTTGCTGAGCTTAACTAATGCACTATTATAGGAAGGAGAAAGGCTAAGGTCAGCATGGAGATAATTATATGTCCACCTGGTGGGTAACTATAGATCTAGTAATTCGCGCAATGCGCGCATTGCCTCGTGGCGGTTGTCTACAACATTGGGCATGGCCCCAGGGCTCTCGGTCACTCATTGGTACTAATGAAAAGGAAGTAAGGATAATCTTTTGCTATTCTTGGCAATTAGAAGTAACCCTTGAGGCTTAACGTCGCGCAGCGCCCCAGGGTTCTCAAGGGAAGTAAGGATAATCTTTTGCTAATCTTGGCAATTAGAAGTAATTAATTTCATGGACAGTAATGACGTCTTTGATACGGTTTCTGCAAGCTATAAATTGAAGGCAAGACCAGACGAGTACATCTCTCGCAGCCTGCAAGCAGCTTTGAACGGAGAAAACTCTCACCCCAACGGAAAATGCTGGTAGTCATCCTCGTTGCTGTAGCACTTGTTGCTGCTTCAAGTGCCTGGCCTCCGGAAAGGTATCTACCAACAGATGCATCCCTTCAGGGTGAGCTCATTATTAACCTCTCACCCTAACCATGGCACATGGTTCTTCTTTATAATTATAGGAATACAAGAAATGGAATACAAAGACCATTATGCGATGGAAGATCGATACGCAGCATTCTTTCAAGGTGCAGTGCATTTTTTGCAGATCAGTACAATAACAATTCTTACCGTAGAATAATAGAATTACCAGTCGGTATTTATAGGTAGCTACTAATAGTTCATGCTTCATACTCTCAAAATGGGGTGCGAAAAACAGTGACACAAAAAAGGGCGATCAAAATCCAGCATACCCATCAATACATTTATGGACAGGTCAGTGCATTTAACTATGGAACGTATATAATTATAGTAAACAGTCAATTTTGACTAATAGTTCTATCTTCACTGCAGGTTTATTCGACCCAGTAATAACAGTGCCATCACTAAAGATCGGACAGACCATTGAAGTTGTGTTCAAAAACCCTCCAACTGGATATCTCTCCTTCAACCTGGTCACTGCAGCGAGCGATGTTGCCCTCCATTTCAACCCTCACTACACGGACGATGGTGGCTACGTTGTTCTAAACAGCCTAATCCACGGCGCATGGCAGGAAGAAGAGAAACCCACTGGGTATCCATTCCCTGCTGATAATGTCCAGACAATGGTGACTGTCCACATTACTGTCGGACAGAGTAAATTTACAATATCAGTTAATGGTATCGAATTTGCAACTTTCAACTACCGTCCTGGGCTCAGCTACGAAACTGTTCGTCACATGACCTGGAATGCTCCGTCGGAAGCTATTTTGGAGTCGATTAAAATCAAATTCTAATTTCACACCTGGGATCCAATTGGACAGCCAAACTTTAGTATTAGAAAAAAGTATAGCTAGATAGATGTAGAATTTAGCTTCTACATTATTAATCAACTTTTTTTGAAAGCAAGTGCAATAATAATTATAGCTACTATTGTACTTTATAGAGAGAAAGTAGCTAACTATCATGTGAATGCAGTCATAGTGTAGGCATCTTCTTGTTTCTGTTCTTTAGTCATGAGGTGACATCAGCAGCCCAAATCACTTTATTGCCTTTTACATTAAGATTTGCTTGAACAATAATTAATGAAGGACAATACATTCCTTAGTTGGAATAGCTGTGGCAAAGGCATGCGAACTTTCTGAGCATGCACAGTGCCACGCTGATCCGCCTGCAAGCATTGCAGGCTGTATGTTATAGATGTCCTTGGAGCAAGAATTTGCAAGGGTTTTGAGACTGTGTTTCTAGCCCAGTTTCTAACCCAAGAAATGTTGTAAAACCTTGCCATCTGATAGGTCAATTCAAACTAAACAGGGCTCCCTCTCATAAATATTGCCTTCAGATTCATTGCATAACATCCATCCCTACATTAGAGATGTTGCATAATTGTACAGAGCAGGCGATTATCAATTCTAATACATGAAACAGCAATTCTATGGTATAAACAAACTGTTAACATTTTGAGTGCACCACAACAATCACTAAGCATGGTGGTCCTACGTATTATAGGGATGACACAGGTTGTCCTGCATTATGCCCATACATTTCAGAAATAGCTAATACGTACGTAATTATTATGCAAAATAGCCCTGGCTTACCTCGGCCAGATGCGCTTGCTCTGCGTACCTTGTATATAGGCACCAGAAGTTGCCGTGAATCGCAAACCCTCGGCGAACTGCGCATGCGCAATACTGCTAATTGATGGCATGGGCCGGCTATTTGCGTTTACTCGCGGTCTTCCGCTAGTAGCCCGCGGAGAGTCAGACACGGGCTAGCTACAGTAGTAGATAGCATGACATGCCATTGGTTGTGACTTCCTGAGCCCCCAAGGTACACAGAGCGAGCTGATCAGGTCGTAAGCCCAGTGCGATTATGCTTATTGGCTTTTTCGCTTGTTTTCACGGCATATCTCTCGAACGAAGTATTAATCGCCTAATAATTTTTCGGGCTCCCGTAGTTCTGAATCCGCTGGTATCGCTAACGGGCCGCCTCGTAGCCTGTAGTGCCAGAATAAGCGTCGACACACACACACACAGACAGACAGAACGACTACTGTAACCCTCGCTGCGCAAGCGCGTCTATAGGGTTAATTGAATAGCCCGTTACAGACTCTCAGCGACCTGGTAACAGATCACGAGTAGGCCTTGGCAGATTATGCTGGCATATAATTTTGAGAAAAGTATATAGGCTTTGAGAATTATGCTGGATAAATAGGCCAATGATTCCGGAAAATTCACCCCCATATGCATAACTCCGTCACATTGGCTCGCTGTGTGTGTGTGACAGAAATGACTGAGGCAGAGGTTGAGGCCTAGTGGTTCTAGTTCAGCCGTCTTTCGCAGCGGCGGAAAGCGTGTTCTCACTATAAACTGAAAAATGCTTTCAATTCTCAGCAGAAATCTTCCTTAGAGGAGTATTTAGAACTCTCTGTCATGTTACAGTATAATTATAGAGAGGTTTTGTAATCAGTGTCTCTTCTGAACAGTTGCTTTTTTGAGAAAAATAGGCACAATCGAAAGAAAAATGAAAAAAGAAATATAAGCATAATTATTATAGGAACAGAATAGAAAAATAGGCCAAAATTTTAGCATAATCTGCCAAGGCCTAATCACGAGTCACGGTAAAGTAGCCCAGCCCATCAGAATTAGCAGTAAGCACATGAGTGTACTTACTATGGGAGGTGATTACTGCCAAAAGTGACACAATTCCACCTTGGGGTGTGTTTCAAATGGAGGGTGAGTGTTTCAACTTGAGGAGGGGGTGCATTTCAACTGGAGATTGTGCTGGAGCTCCCTTCCTTTACATATATAGCATCCCTATGACGCCATAGGTATCTCCTTAAATAAGCAGAAGTTTAGTATTAGAGCCTAGTATTATAACCCCCATATAAATGTTTACGAACTTATGGAGGCTCTGGACACATTAATGTGTCTGCGGCTAGTTAAGTGTTAAAAATTATGTCTATCTACTTTTTTCACTGGATTCTTTTATTTACATGTAGTTATTGCCACATAATAATAAATTGTTGTTGGTGTATCAATAGCTAGACGTTGTGCGGTGGCATTTTCTTTGCGGGTAACGTGAGATTTGACCCCACGTCATCGACCCCATATGTGTTGCAGAAGGCTTCGCTAGCTATGCTCTTGCTATAATATACACGAATCACAAGAGATTACCAAACCTCACCCTCTGAACCTTTAATTGGAACATGTTATGTCGAAGGCCCCCACACATATTTCAGCTGCACCCAAGGGAATTGAGAGGATACGCTCCCACCCTAGTGTCAGCAAACTATCAATTATTGAAATTTCATACATTCTTACAGCTAGCTATATAGCTTTCTTCTTAGCTAATGATAGCAGCATCAAGTAGTCACAGCAAATCCTACTTGGATAGGAGACGAACCACAAAGGAGTACCAAATGTTCTTATCGCGCTTGACTGATCAAAGAACCATTCAGTTCTAAATAGATTTGTTTTCTTATATATGACAGTTATACTGGTAATGATGAATTTCAGTGATGTTGGTTGTATATACATGTCATAATAATCATTAAACTCTAGATGGAACTCATCCTTCTAGCTCTGCGGCTGTATAGGAACCCAAGAAACATGACAAGAGCCACGACACTAACAACAGCCACAATGACAATGACCACAGCTCCAACACTCCCTACAATTACTTCAACATTTGGACCTGCAAGTTCAGCAAAGAAATTTGCCAACATTTGAACCTGTTATAAGCAAGCATAATTATGTCAGAAAGTTACGAGTGTCTGTATTGACATGAACGGCATTTAATAATTGAAGCTATATAATTTGCAAGCAAGGCCAGCCTACCATAGTCGTGTTAATGTGGATTTTTTTGTGGGCAGTGCACATACAATAGCCACTTCTACACAATATGCCTGAATTCTCCTGTTCGCTTACCAATAGTGCGTTGCATTTGTTCTTCATTGGTTGGGCTCTCATCAGTGAGCTGTGGTGAAGGGGTGAGAGACATGGAAGGGTCTGTGAGTAGTCTGTCGTCAGGATTGAGGTTTTCGTTGCAGTAGTCAGTATTGTTGCAACAGAGGACAACTTGTGTGGCACTGGGAACGTTTAAAATACACGTAGCATGAACTCTATATACTTTGATCATCGGGGTTGTCCTCAATACAGTTATACGTATATCTCTTGTGACCACCTAATTCAGCAATCTTCAATTCGACAAAGCATTGTCCGGTATCTGTCGCACATGTACCATTGGGATAACAGCCGGGAGGGAGTGATGGTAGCTCTACGTTGATGAACTCCTTGCAGTGGCATATCAAACAGTGAACTGAGCACGGAATAACATGGAACATAAGTCTATGCCTTAACTTGCAACATTACAGAATATTAGTTACTTGGGTCCACCCAGACAGTCTGACGGAAGGTGTAGGCTCACAAATTCATCAAACACCCAACCCTTCCACAAGGGTTTGCAGAAATTTATTTAACCCCTCTGTATTGGTTTCCTGGGGATGTGGCAGCCCATGAACACAATGGGCACTCCTAACACTTACATCTGACAAACGTGCTACGCGAACCTGCTAATTTCACTGTAAAGGTTATAACATGTCTCTAGTTCGTGCCATACAAAACTAGATATACCCTATAGGGAGTGCATAACAGACATTCCGAAACATGAGCTATAGCTCTGGATGCGCTCGGTGGCCACCTGTCTGGTGGTAGGCTGGTAGCTATAGCTATAATATTATTGATAGTACACAAGCTCATAAGTGTGTATAGTACCTATAATATAAGAATTACACAGAAGTGCGACCAAGGGGACAATTGCCCACGAAACTGACCTGCATTTGCCCTAGAAATTGAGCATGCAACTTGTCTTTTGGTCTGGAGTATGACTTATGTGAATCACTGAAAACTCTATTCCCTGTTACAGCATATAATTATACTGATACGTGTTACAGAGAGATTCGTATGGCACATTCCTATAATAGCTACCGCGCGGAAGTAGTTCGGACTATAATTTAGACTAATGACATCTAACAATGGACTAAAATTGTCAACCTGCTTACTTTGACTAACCTGAATCAAGAGAAATAAGTGATAAAACCAGCAGTATTGCCACTTGCACCCCCATGATGCTGCCGAAACGCAACTCGTAAATGTTGCGCCGTCTGAGCATGCGTACTTTATATCGGCAGCGTGAGCATGCGCGTTGTAATAACGGAGCCACGCCTCTTCTTTGGCTCATCCGCGAGCAAAACTCCGTACCAAATGCCATCATCGCGGATTTCAGTTGGTAATTGTTAGTTGCGTGGTAATAAAAGTGTAAGAGACAAGGGAACTACGGGAACGGACACAGACACGCAGACACACCGACCAAGTACCGTACAAAGTCCAAAGTTCATGTTTGAATGGCCCGCCCGGGCATGACATGTATACAGACAAGTTTAAAAAACATGTAGGAAGCATAACACATGACTGAAGAAGGTGGGGTCCATGGTAGTCAAAGAGTCAAGTAGAGTGCACCAGGAGTTGTCACTTTTTGTGTGGTTGGTGATGACATGTTCGGCCAGAGTTGGTTTGTCCTGATCAGCTGTATCGCACCGAGGACATTTGCTGGGTGAATGATCTGGGTAGGTAATCACCCTCACAAGGTTCTTCATCCCCTTAATAACTGAGGGGCCGTGATCCAGTGCATGATCCCACAACTTCTTCCACCCAAACACACTCGCGATCTTGTGCACACAAACTGATGTTTGGAGACCTTTTGTAGCAGCAGCAGTTGGTCTTTCTTGTTGATGATCTTTTGTGCATTTCTGATGATGTTAAGCCCATCTGCGAGCTCATTGGCACTCAGTATGTCTGATGTAAAAGTCGACTTGTACCTATCCTCCAGTTCCCTGCATTCCCTCACTAGACTGAGTGCCTCCACGTCATCTACCATAGCTGAGAAAGCTC